CCCCCCCCCCCCCCCCCACCTTGGTCAGTTCCGGAAGAAAACAAATTTAAATAAAGATAAAATGAATATTTTATTGTAGACTTTATAAGCAGTCAATGGGCTAAGAAATTAAACTGCGAAACGGGCAAAAATAGAGCGGAAGACTGCAAAGTGGGGCAGGTGCCCGTGAGAAACATTCAGGCGAATGGAATCTTTGCAAAAATCTTCCTTTACCTAGGAAGCACTAACACGTCATCGTAGTTTTTTTATAACCTCTCACAATGACAGCAGCGGAGAGTTTGTATTCAACGCTGGTCACTAACTGCATCTTTAACGTTTTCTTGCTTTACACCGCTATCGCGTTAAACATCATAACAATACAAGCGCTGAGGAAAACGCCGTCGTTGCCAAGGACTTTGAAAACATTGCTCTTGAGTTTGGCTGCTTCTGATCTCGGTGTTGGTTTACTCGCCCACCCTGTTTTTGTTGCACGTCTCATTATTCAAATACGACAAAACACTAGCGATAATGCTTATGATACAGTATTTGCCATTTTCGCTGATACACCTGTAAATGCAACGTTTTTTAGTGTTGGCGCTATAACTGTTGATAGATTCTTAGCCATTCATCTTCATCTAAGATACCAGGAACTTGTAACTCACAAGCGTGTTATTGCTGTTGTGATATCTACTTGGGTTATCAGCGCATTTCTTTCTTTACTTTTCCCTGAAGTTGGTTGGGACTGGATTCCAAACAGAGTTCCTGGGATTATGTTTGTAGCCATCGACACTGTTTGTTTCATAACTACAGGATTTCTCCACTACAAGATATACGTATCTGTATGACACCACACAGATCAAATCCAAGCTCTGCAAGCACAAGAAGAAGCACAGAAAAGAGAAATGAAAAATGCTGTGAGGCTGAGAAAAACTGCACTTGTTACATTTTACATCTATTTCGTCTTTTTGGCTTGTTATGTGCCAATCTTTGGTGTCAACCTTGCCCGACTGTTCTATGGTCAAACTGCCTTGATATGGCATTTGCGATATTATGTTTTTACACTTATGCTTTTCAATTCATCTCTCAATCCTTTGATCTACAGCTGGAAGATGAGACACATGCGACATGCTGTTATAGACATACTTCGAAGCGTACTCCCAAGTCGCCACTAAAACAATTAAGGGCCTGTTACATGGAGGTGGGGGAACCTAGATAGGTGGCGTAACCCGCTCAGGTGGAGTAAAAGTATAAACCGCGTTTAGACGCAATCTTGCAACCCCGTCATCCCGGGTCGCTATGCATGTAAACCAAACAAAATGGCGAGAAAACGACGTGTGTTGGCAGTTAATTCTCTTCTACTCTGGCTCTTGCTGCATCCCTTTAGTGTTGTGACTTTCTATTGCCACTTTTAATGATGCAAGGCCTCGGCTAAAGGTAGTTAGTTGTTCAGTCAACGAATTTGTTGTGAACACGAATCCGGCATGGGCTAGGCGGGTTACCCCACCTTGAAACACTTACGTGGCAAAATATGACCCCCGCTGAGAGGGTTACACAGACTAGCAGACCGGCGGTTGGAAACAATTTCCGATTATACAAAAATAAGGCAAATCTTCAAAACAACTTGACGTTACCATGGTAGGAAGTCGGCTTACCAAAATAATAATGAGGTGTATTAAGGTGTTTCGATACAGTTTTTCGGAGACCATACCGATATTTTTCTTTCGCCTTAAAGGGGATTTTATCCATGTCCGATCGCTATAAAATTTTCGCCAGTGATTGACTATGGATCGAAGTTTTTCAAAACGTAGTTTTAACTAAAATCGATATTACTGTGACAACAATAAACAAAAAAGTTGGAAATTGATAAAAGCCGAATTTTGCGCAATCTAGACCTGCTACTAAAAATCCAACACTAGGAACTTAAAGTTTGGTGTTTAGCAAATAACCTCCGTGAGAAGTAAAAAAATCTGTATGTTTGAATTCAAATAAAACGTAAATGTATTTCAAACCTCGTATTTTCAAAAGCTGTGATAAATTATTTAATAAAAAAAGTCCTAAATAACTTAAGTTAATCTTAAGTAGCGTCGGAATGCTGCTTAATATCATATTTCGATGCTAGGAAAGTTTGGAGTATTTTCGTCCGTGCGATCTTGTAAACCAACCTGCTTTCTCACCACCTGTCTAAGCGCAACTTTATTCTAAATCTTGACTTTCAACCCTTTTTTGTTTATCTCTGAAACTACTGGAACGAATTTTTTTTGCGCAAAATTCGGCTTTTATCAATTTCCAATTTTTTTGTTTATTGTTGTCATAGCAATATCGATTTTAGTTAAAACTACGTTTTGACAAACTTCAATCCATAGTCAATCACTGGCGAAAATTTTATGGTGATCGGACAAGGATAAAATCCCCTTTAAGGCGATAGAAAATATCGCTATGGTCTCCGAAAAACTGTATCGAAACACCTTAAGGACGGTGCTTATGAAAAGCTTACAGTACTTACAGAGGTCGACCAGTCATTTTAATGAAGAATAAGAATACAACGAAACCCGCATAAAGAACCCGTGATCTTCTGTGAAAGGTTGATTCAGAAATGGTTCTTAGATGTTGGATCCAGTATAGTCAGGTCTCTTAAGGTCAGGATCCTTACAGAGTTGACAAAAGCACCAAACATTGCACAGCGATAGCTTATTGCAGTACCATGAATATTAGAGGGGGTGCCCAATGCAAATATGCCACTGAAGAGTGCTAAACAGGATTTAATTATTGTAAATTTCACCTGCTGGGGTCCTTGTGGTGTTGTGATTGAAAATGGTTATTCAATACCTTAAATCACTCAGAATGCTCTTCCCATGTTGTAAACAACAATTTCACTCGAACATATGGCATTCCCATCCATTCTTAGCTCATTGACTGTATAATTAAGCTGATTATTACTGTGCGCTTAAAGAAAGTCCACAGTCCGCCCACATTTTCATAAGTCATTTCTAAGATGGCCTAGTCTTTGCTTCATAACTTGCAAGTACTCAGGTTCTGTGGTTCTCTTCTCCTTTTCTAATGTATTTCAATTAGAGGAGGCCTTATTGTGGGGCTTAAGCCTTATTTATCAAGTATTACTTGTCATATGTTACTTTAAGCTAAAGAAAGCGTATGGCATAGCAATTCGCACACAAAATTTCAGAAGAGTCTGTTGTATCACATATTATCAGGGATTATAATAATAATAATATCTTTATTTATTACCTTTGGCGATAAGAATTACGGTAATATTACAATAAAATTCAAAACACTACATTTATGACAGCAGTTCATGAAGAGCAAATAACGAAATAACAGAACCCAAAATAGTTCTTTCCTAAGGAGGTAATCAATTTTTCAGCTTAACATAGGCCTGGATGCCTTTCAGTCTCTCCCTATCTGCTGGAAACACGTGCATGTTTTGACAGAGAAGCAAGCATCGTGGCACAAGTCATATCATTTACAATTCCTGCAGTTTGTCTAAGCTTTACAAAGCAAAAACAAACAAAAAAGGAATCTGGTCTTATAAACGCGAAAAAGAAACGAGTTAGCCCAGGCTTCAAAAAACAGCACAGTTTATGATGAAGCCTCTACATTTGGCACTGAAGCACTCATGTCCAAAAATAATAACAGCTTTTCAAGTCGTAAAAGTGAGACTCAAGTGGTACAAGATTGACTCAAATGATAAATGGTGAATGGTTTAACCGCTGAAACTGTAGAAAGGGGGCCAGGCTAACTTTTAGGGCCTGTTTGGCATGGAGGAGGGGGACCCCAGGTAAGCATGGTAACCCACCTAGGTGGGGTAAACCGGCTGTCCATATAATCTCTCATTCTAATTTGATCACGTTTACATGATAGGTGGGGTGACCCTTCTAGGTGGGTAGCCCGGTCTGCCACACCGGGTAACCCTCTCAGCTGAGGTTAAATTCTGCCATGTCAACGTTTCAAGGTGAGGTAACCCAGGCCAGTCGGGGTCGGATTCGTGATACATCAAATTCGCGCAAAATTCACTTTGGCGCCGGGTGGCTTCACTTAATTATTAAAGGTGACAATAGAAAGCCAGGGTTTTCCGTTGCTGCCCCCCGACTATGGAACAAGCTCCCCTTTGAAATTCGAGCTTGTTCTGATGTTAATCTTTTTAAATCTAAGTTGAAAACGTTTCTTTTTACAAAGGTATATGACATTTAGTTTCATCATATTTGTTTTTGTTTTCTTTCCTTTTTAAGATGTGTATGCTATAAATTTCCCAATATGTACAGTAGTGTTATATGTAAGCTTGTGAGTAATGATATTCTTATGTCCTTTTTTATATTGTAAAGCGCTTAGAACAGCGATGTATAAGCGCTATATAAATTCTATTATTATTATTATTATTATTATTATTATTATTATTAAAGCCACAACACTGAAGGTTGCAGCAAGAGCAGCAAGTGAGCGTAGACTTGGCTTGCCAGCATTTTTCTTGTTTAAGTGCTTAGCGACCATTCAATAATCTTGAGGAAGTGCACCCCAGGATGGCGGAGTTGTAAGATTGCATGTAAAGGAGGGTTATTTTTTTACCCCACCTAAGCAGGATACCTCACCTACCTGGGGTCCCCCACCTTTATGTTAACGGGCCCTAAGTCTCAGGAACCGTGAAACTGGTAATAAACGGTATACCTAACCCGGGACTAGCTGTGATACTACTTCCATCTTCAAAAACGTCAGCATAGCAGCCAAAGGAGCCATTATATCGGTGTAACACGAATATTAGATTGCGGTTGTTTCATGCGTCTCGTTTTGTGACTTTTTTGAGTTCGTTTTTGTCACCATCTAAATTTCAATCATGTTCAAAACACCCCTACGAACACAATATTTCGTAAAGCCCTTTAGAATGATATTCAGCAATAAAAACAAGGTGTGACCAGGAGCCTATTTCTAGGATCCTGGTGTGGCAACATAGGCATAAGTGAATGCAAAGTTTTGCGGTATATAATCTGTCCAAAATCTGTTTGAGTGGTCAAAGTTGGGGCTGATGGGCTTCTTTATCATGGCCACTCCATTATTTTAAGGGACCAAGCCATAATTATTGTTGACCCTTGCCTCTTTTGGTATTTTCTGTAATATTCCACAGCATTATTTTGTAAAAGTTGGTAACTGAATTGCTTTTGAGGAATTTTTACGATCGTAAGATTTCGTAACCACGGGGTATTTGCCTAATTGCATCAAACAAATTACATTCATTTTCATAAATGATGCATCATTGGTTGGCTAAAAGAGGCCTTGTTCCTATAACTTTCAGCTCTTCTGAAGTTAGTTTGTTCGTAAATTGTAACGCACCCGACGACCTTCCTCTTTTTTGAAAGATCGTATAGACCTACCATTAACACTCTGGTGCGAGGGCTCTGAAGTGAATGAGCTCCTTACAGGTGTCTAGGCATGCAGGGACCTCATACACTTCTTTTTAAATACAAATGTGTAAAAAATAAAGAGTGTTAAAAATTCCTGGAGAGGCATGTTTTACAACCTCGTCCCCAAGGCTTAATAAAAAGGTAGAAAAAGGTAAAGGGACCATATTTTACGTCAATAACTCTTGACAGTAATAATAACTGATAAACTTGAGGTCGACGGTGCGCTCCTTTTACCCCCCTCTCTCAATTAATGCTCCGTTTGAAGGGTATTTAAAGCTGGTCAAAGCTACACAGAAAGGAGAGAAGTTGAAATAAGAATGTATTGACACCGGGGATCGAACTAGGGACCTCGCGCACCGAAGGCTGCGCACTAACCAACTGTGCCACCCTTGCTCCTCCTTTTCCCCCTGAGGACGAGGTTGACATGTTTTAATCAT